AACCATTATATCAGCAACGAGGTTTAACTTATGATTTAGTTAAGGAATTAGATAAAAGAAAATTTGAGAAATCAGATGATTATAAGAATGCAATTAATGAATATATTAGGTCTATTAATTACAATGAACCAGCTAAAAATCAACTTCAAGAACAAATACAGGGAATAATAGATTCAAAACTTCCAGCAAAATAAAAGTTTAAATATATTTTTTTTATTCGAATATAAATGAGAAGACGTTTCACTAGTCAAAAGAACACTAACGCAAAAGCAGAGATTACGGTTGGTTATAACGTAAATGATGATAAATCACGAATTATTCAAAATGTTAAAGTTAATGTTAGCCCCGAATTAACAAGGTCAGCAACTCAACCAAATTTATTAACTCGTGACTTACCGAAAAAGGAGGAGGAGCAAAATAAAGAAGATGGAGACCCAATCATTTTATCTGAACCCGGTAAAGAACCTGTTGAAATTCCCACTTATCCAACATACCCCCCACCTCTTTCATCAAACATCGAGAACCCATATAAAATAGACATTAATTCTGAATTAATGAAAATTTACCGTGATATAATAATTAATAATTATGATTCAATAATAAATTTAATTGACCAATCTGGTTTAATTATTTTACCTTATGAATCATTAATTCACATTATCGCCATTCTTTGTGATGTTCAAGATTCAGACGTTAAGATTCAATTTTTCATAGATGATGAGGTTTCATGCTGCGGAACAGTTGCAAAAATAAATCCTATAAAGGATATTAGCACAATTAAGATATCAAAGAACGGAACAACAACTGAACTTCATTTAACATATAATGATATTTATAATAAAATAGTTGATGAATATAAAATATTGTTGTAAACAGAAATTCATCAAAAGTGACACTTCAGAAAAGCTAAAATATTGAATTTTTGGAACTTTTGATAGAGCACGTTTTTAAATATTAATTAAAGTAAATGGATATTTTGTAAAGATTCTTTTTAATAAAAAAATAAAATTTTGAAGAAGAACACAAAATCTTCTGAAAAATAATATCACATAAACTCATATTATTTTCTAATATATAACTATTTTATATAAAAATCAAATTCAATGATCTTAAAAGCGAAGGATAAACCTCAAAATTTACGAATATAATGAGTGGGAATATAATGCTTATCTATCATAAAACCATATGAAATATCAATTTTTGCTTTACGCCTAATTTTTGACGACAATTAGCAAAAAATGTTAAATGTTAACACTCAGTCCATTTGAATATGAAAATAAAATTGACTTTGATTAAATGTTTTTATTTATCATGCAATTCTTCTTGCGACCAAAGATTGAATAAAAGTTCAAAAAATAAGATAGCTTAAAAATAATATACGGTAGTGTTACTAATAGATGAATAGTATATAAATTCTATTAAAATGGATTTGATCCAAAAAAATATAAAACCAAAAATAATTTTATAATTTAAATGAAGAAGTAATTTAAAACGATTTTATTTATGATCAAATTTTATATATTTTTTTGGATCAAATCCATTTTAATAGAATTTATATACTATTCATCTATTAGTAAACACTACCGTATATTTTTTTAAGCTATCTTATTTTTGAACTTTTATTCAAATCTTTGGTCGCAAGAAGAATTGCATGATAAATAAAAACATTTAATCAAAGTCAATTTTATTTTTCATATTCAAATGGACTGAGTGTTAACATTTAACATTTTTTGCTAATTGTCGTCAAAAATTTAGGCGTAAAGCAAAAATTGATATTTTCATATGGTTTTATGATAGATAAGCATTTATTCCCACTCATTATATTCGTAAATTTTGAGTTTATCCTTCGCTTTTAAGATCATTGAATTTGATTTTATATAAAATAGTTATATATTAGAAAATAATATGAGTTTATGTGATATTATTTTTCAGAAGATTTCATTCTATATGCCTATGAAAAGTACTCTCAAAACTAACTTTTCCCTAATTATAATTAAATCTAGAATATTGTATTATGCTTAGTATTATTTCATTTTTCTCATTCAATTTAGAATTTACAAATGTCAAAAAATTGAGAGCCGTCACTTTTGATGAATTTCTGTTTATCACAATATCACTTGAAAAATTCTTTGTTAAGGCTATTTAATATTCAAGCATTAACATTATCGAATAATAATCCTTTGAATCATAATCAGTAATAATTGACCTTTCACCAGTTTCTATCGTTTGTTTTATTTCTTTTTGTTCCCCACTATCCGGATCGGTCATTGTAATTGTTTTTGTTATAGTATCAGCTTTATCTTTAACTTCAATCTTTTTTCCATCGGGATATTTAAACCAAAATTCCAAAAATTCGATATTGTCAATCTGTTCATATTTAATCTATCAATTACATTTTTAATACCATCTGAAAATCTTATGAAATGGTCATTATATGGGTTTGATTGACTAAATTGAATGAAGTGAAATATAACCTGTTGATGAATATGACACTGACTCATATTTTCTGAAAACACTAAAATTTATAACATGAATGAATTTCTTATTCGTTGAATTTATGAATTCTTGAGGTAATCTTATTCTAGTTTTATTTATCACTGGAAAATAACGCTTTACCATATTTTTAATCGTAATAAAAATGTCAATTATCAATATTATTTCGAATAATAACTGTGAATTAAATTTAACAGTTAGCGGAATTTATAATGTTACTCTCGTTTCTGTGACTGGTAAATTTAATCCCATTCTTTTAGACCCTTCAGATTATATATCATTTATTAAAGATGACCTTGAAAAAACGTATGATATGTATATAAATAATGTGATAGCGAAATGGGATATTAACATGATTTTAAGTTATTTAAATGAATCATTTATCGTATATGGTATGAAGAAAATTTTAAATCAAAACCCGATAAACTTTTTGAACTTGATGAAATAAATAACCTTATTAAATTCCCGCTGAAAATTAAATTTTGTACTCCTCATCTTCGTTCATTGTTGGGGATATTAAATTTTGAAAAAGATGATGGGGATGTTTTGTATTCTGACACTGGTTCCAATTTCATTTTAATCAAATGTGATAAAGTTAATACCCCAATGAGATTTTCACATCAAACATTAGACCCTAACTCTTACCCATCAATACAAAACATTTTATCCATCAACTTAAACACATTTTCTTTATCATATCCGTTTCAATTATCCGGGAATTCATTTATTCTTCATTCAAAAGATTTATCAAATATTAAATTTAGAATAACTGACCTATTTGATTGTGATTTAGAATTTATGAATGAAATATTATGGCAATTTCAAATAGAGAAAATAGCTGATGAGATAACGGATTAAATATTTATTTTTAAATCGTAATAAATGATTAAACAACAGCAACTTAAGGCGCAAAGCGCCCAGGTCCTTCAGACCATTACATACGCCATATATGCATATAATTCAAAGACGGCAGAACAAACGCAAAGGTTGAAATATGGAGATTTCGAGATAGTATTGAAAAATGACCATTTCGAATTCGTTTGCAAAGGTGGTGCAGTGATATCAATAATAAAAGAAATTTATTTATGAATTCAAAAATTAAAGAATAACGGATGATTAACATCAATTCCACTAGAAGAACAGAGATATTACGCATTAAATGCATTTCTAAAGTTTTGAAGATTGGAAGATTTAATTTAAATGAGGAATTCATAGAAGGTTTCCTAAACGACATAATGAAGAAGGTGGATAAGGAATATGTGGATAGTGAATTAAATAAGAAGGCAAATTTGGTTTATGTTGATGAAAAAGATAATGAAATTAAAGAAAAGGTTGAATGGTATCATGAATGGACATCGGAGACTTTTAAAGTTAAAGCTGATACAGGATGGGTTTCAGGATGTTTAGACCTTAAAGCAGATAAAACTTATGTTGATGAAAAAGATAATGAAATTAAAGAAAAGGTTGAATGGTATCATGAATGGACATCGGAGACTTTTAAAGTTAAAGCTGATACAGGATGGGTTTAAGGATGTTTAGACCTTAAAGCAGATAAAACTTATGTAGATGAAAATTATGCAAAGAAGTCGGAAGTAAATGATGTGATTACAAGCATGAAAAATGAAATACTTTCAAAACATTATATCCTGTTGGTTCTATTTATACGTCAATGAATTCAACAAATCCAGCAACAGTTTTAGGTTTTGGTACGTGGAAGCAGATTGTAGATAAATTCTTATACTGTGCTAGATATTCAAAGCAAACAGGAGGTTCGAAGAAAATTAAAGAAGCAAACCTTCCACCGCACACTTCATACAGGAACTACAAACTTTTCTGGCGACCATAGCCACTCATTAAGAGACTACCCATTATACAACTCAGAATATAGAGATGGCAATGATGTTTTATCTCCATTCTTAAACAATGCAGCAAAAAAGATTTTTCGACCAACTGAACCGGGAGGAAATCATTCACACACTTTCACAACAAATCCAACAGGCTTGGGTAAAGATTACATGCCACCATTTGTGACTGTATTCGCATGGTACCGCGTTCAATGAATGAACTAAATATATTTTATGTCTGTAATTAATTAGGTAATGAAGTAATGGATGAACTGCAGAAATAAATTTTATCGTTAATGTTTACGTTAATGGTTTCAGGTTATTCAATAATTAATTATTTTTGAAGAACTGAAGGTGTCACTACGTCACCATGTGTCACTCGGTTAATTAACTTCTCTGAAAAATGAGACAACATGACATTTTGACAACAGTCCTGGAAATAAATTTTATCGTTAATGTTTACGTTAATGGTTTCAGGTTATTCAATAATTAATTATTTTTGAAGAACTGAAGGTGTCACTACGTCACCATGTGTCACTCGGTTAATTAAACTTCTCTGAAAAATGAGACAACATGACATTTTGACAACAGTCCTGGAAATAAGATGCAGTCCAAAAATAAAGTTAGTTTTAAAATTATTTTTATTTTTTTATTCCTATATAAATGACAGCAACAAACAACAACAGCAACTATATCGTTTCTGATGAAAAATTTATTGATTCATTAGCCGAGGAATTAGTTGTGGCAGAAACTAAAACCCTCAACGAAAGAATTGGTGAAAACAAGATTGATTTACATAACTACCTCAAACACGATGGAGGAAGAGGAAGAAAAACTGGTACAGCTTTATTAGTAAATAAAATTTCAAATTTAACGATTATAGATGTTGATATCAATAAATCGTACAATGATGAACTTAAAGAAACAGTTAGAAAAGATATTTTATCAAAACTTTCGGATAAAGATGTTATCGTTAAAACTGCTTCAGGAGGTCTTCACATTTATTGCAACACTAATTTCTTCTATGCAGTTTCGAACAGAATGATTAAATGTTATTCCTGCAATGATTATGATATCGATATCATGACTTCTATGGATGATTCAAAGCGTTCTTTAGTAGTTATGGCTGATTCAAGAGTTCGCAAGAATGCAATAGAACCAATCAATACATACTCATTCATTCGTGGAAGTTACGACTCGACCATAACCAGAACAGTGAATGATATATTAAATGATTTGAATATTAAGGTAAGAGTTGAACAGAAGAACGAAGAAATAAAGACTATCATGAATGAAAACAAAGATGAAAACATTGACGATAAACTTGCCCAGAGCATAGTTGATGGCATCAGTGATTTTGAAGTACATAATGACGGTGGAAACATGAATTTAGAAAAAGAAGTTACATTATTCACACTGTTTCAAGCAATTAATTCGTTACCTAATCATTTAATTAATGAAGCATACGATAACGTTTATAACTTCTGCAGCTTAACTGAAAATGCAAAAAGTAATTTTGAAAAAGCACGTAGTAGATATGCACATTTAATGACTTCTCCATTTGTTTTAGTGAAGATTCTAAAACTTTATCAAAAGGAATATTATGATGAATATGTTTTACCTTTATTACGTAAGCCAAAAATAACATTTGATATAAAACTTGATGACTCGTTTTTGATAACAGATATTAGACGCAAGGCTGAAAATCATCAGTATAAAAACAGTTCTGAAGTAATTGAGGATTTATCACGTGTAATCCGTTTTGTAGATTATGGAAACAAATACTTCATTCAGAAAGATTACAACATACACGACAAAATGAATCAAATATCATTCGTTCTTCAATCAAACATGAAAGAGTCACTCAAAATGATTAAATTATTTAAAGAAGAAGGTAAAACAATAACAGCATGGGACGTACTACTAAATCAATTGTCTTCATTAACCGTTAAGGGTGTTTGCTTTAAATCTGATTCTCCAGATGTTTTCTCAACGTTTCAGGGTTATAAATACAACGTTCTCGAAAAACCAGATTACTCAAAAATTGAGATGTTTATGAATTTCATTAAAGAAGCCATTTGTGATAATAACGATGAAGTGTATAAATATTACTCGGCTGGATTGCATCAATGATTCAACATCCTGGAATCAAGAATGAAACAGCAATTATTTTGAAAGGACTTCAGGGAACAGGTAAAAACAGATTTACAGACATTATTTCTGAACTTCTCGCTGGTTATTCATGTAAAAACATTACCGAAATAGGTAGCTAACGGGTAATTTCAATTCAGTAGTTGAGAATAAAATGTTTCTTGTACTTAATGAACTCAAGAATGTAGGTGAAGACAGACTCGCAAACTTCAACGCTTTGAAATCAATTATTACGGATAATGAGATTAGAATTAATGAAAAGAATCAACCCAGAAGAACTGCTCAGAACGTTGCCAATTTCATTTTCGTAACTAATAACGTCTACCCTGTCAAAATTGAAGTTGGAGACAGAAGATACGTAGTTTTAAGGGTCAATGGTAAATTTAAGGGTCAATTTGATTACTTCAAGAATTTGATGAATTCATGCACAAAGGAATTTTATGATAACCTTTTAACATATTTTATCAATTACGACCTTTCATCATTTAATGTACGAATCATACCGATGACTGAAGCCAAACAAGATTTAATAGAATTATCAACAAATCCTTTAGATGTATGGATAAATACACATTATGATGAATTGAGTGCAGGTATGACGTGTAAAAATGCTCTATTCTGCAAACCATCAGACATGAAAGACAAAAACTTTCAAATGAGCATTAAAGATAAATGTGATAAGAAACAGAGAAGAATAGATGGTAACAAACATGGTGTTATGTTTTGAAAGAAGAAATGAAAGGATTATATAAACAGGTTGAACCAAACGATAATGAGGATTCATTTACTGACGATGAAATACCTGTAAATGAAGCTTTATAAAGTATGATTTGAATTTATTTTTGCATTAATCCTGCTGTGTTGTCAAAATGTCATGTTGTCTCATTTTTTCAGAGAAGTTAATTAACCGAGTGACACATGGTGACGTAGTGACACCTTCAGTTATTCAAAAATGCTTCATAAGTGCCTTCCCCTTAATCCTGCTGTGTTGTCAAAATGTCATGTTGTCTCATTTTTTCAGAGAAGTTAATTAACCGAGTGACACATGGTGACATAGTGACACCTTCAGTTATTCAAAAATAATTAATTATTGAATAACCTAAAAACCATTAACGATAAAATAACTGATAACAAAATTTTATTTTTATATAAATGGATACCCCACAAGCTCAAAATTTACCACGAATCATAACAAGGGAGGAAATGATAAAAATGATGCAAGAACGAATTAAAAACAACAAACCACGAAAACCGAGAAGATGCGGTTATGTAGTAATGATGGAAAGAAGAACCTAGAAGGGTTCGGGAAGAGGAATAAAAATTAAATTTGGATTGAGTTTAAAAATTCATCTTTATTAAATTCATCTCTTCCAATCAATTTATTTATTCTATTAAATTCTTTTATTTTTGCTTCACTCAGTTTAAGGATTGAACGGTAAGTTTCTAATTTTTCGATTATTTCTTTCCTCTCTTTATCGTTTTCAGCCCCACCGCATTGCGGCTTCTTTTTGTAATAGCATATTTTTGATTTAATTCTGTTTAGTTTCTTTTTATATTCATTGTCACTCATTTCTTACGAAATAAAAAAAATTAAATATTATTTAAATATAATGGAGTAATAAAATAAATCGGAATTTCTATTAATTTATTGTCAACTTCAACTAATGCATTGCCGTTAATATATCTAACAAATTCAGCTATTGTGTCAAATCTTCGTCTTCTTTTTGTCATTGATTTATCAGTTTTTCCATAATCGAGATGAATCAAAACTTTATCCCCTTGTTTAAAATTCATGAGCCCCGAATTAATTTGTTCACGTTTAACATCATTCAACCTTTCCATTTGCTTTCTAATATATTCCCATTCTTTTGAAATATCATTTTTCATTTCCACTGGTTTCATGTTTATAGTTCTATGCCATGTATTATTGTAATAATATACTAACTGTTGTATGATGGAGTCATGATTTCCATCCCAGTATATCTGACCGTTAACCCTAACGCATCTCTAAGAGTTCTCATTACCGCATCAACTATTTTATTATGAAACGTATATGGAGAGGATGAAAAGAAAAAATTAATTTGTGGGAAATAATGAGCCATAGCTGCCTGAAATCCTTTATCACCATCACCCCTGATATTATCTACTCTTTCATGATCTAGTAAGTATTGTATAGCCTTCTTGTTTCCTGTTCTGTTTTCCCTTTCACTGGAATGCAATATAAATATCTAGTGTTAATGTTAATGGCAAATAAATAAGTAACGTTTCCTTTTGAATATTCCAGATGATCGATTTCGTATGAATATGGATATGGAGCAAATGAAGGGCGACTAAATTTTTCCTTTAACGGTTGAATTTTTGGGTCAATTGGTTTATTTAATATCTTGAAATCCTTTTTAAAATCTTTTTGCTTCTTTAATGTTTGAAATGGATATAATAAAGTGAATGATGAAGGATTAACTGAAGGAGGAGGAGGTACTGTCGTTGGAGGTTTTGGTGTTGCAAGTGGTTTAATTTTATCTGCTTTGATTTTGGATTTCATTCCCCTCATTAATTCTGGATGTATTCTATTCATTTGTTTTAAATATGCTGTATATAAAGGTTTGATATACTTTCCCGCTTCGAGTTTATGTTGAAGGATGAATTCCAAAAGTTGATCTTCATTTAAAAGTCGGGCTGAATATGGTTTAACTAATGAATCATAAATTAAAGCTTGTGCTTCATTTATGGTCTGAAGGACCTGGGTGTTTTGCCTTTTGTTCCTTTGTTTTTTGCGGCTCATGATTATATAATTTATATAATTCATCAATATCTTCTTCTGTTAATACTTTATTTTTGAAATCTTTCAATTGTTTAAGTTGTGATTTAGTTTTTTCCTTTGTATATTCATTATTTTTAATTTTGTCTTTAATTTTAGAAATTATTTTATCATGATATTTCAAAATTTCATTTTTATAATACGGATAATAATAATCCATCATCACCCGTTATATTTTTATTATATTTTTGGAGATATGATTTTAATTCATAATAATAAGAAAATTTTGATTAAGTACTAAATCATAATTAAATTTTTTAAATCTGTTATTCATTTATATAAAAATAAAATAAGTGTTTTAAGGGTGCCCACCTCTTTGAATCATAGTATCAAAACCATCATTAAGGTTCCTTTTGTCTCTTCTGTGGCATTTTATTAAAAATAAAATTTTAAATTGTATTAAATAAATGGCATACAACATCCATTTTCACAACATACAGCCTTAGTGTGTGCTCCTGTTAATGCAGTCTTACCGATTGTTAAGCGAGTCATTGACCCGTTTTTAAGTTGTAAATTAATATTCTGACCATCAAATATCACTTTATCATTTATTATATCCAAATAATTTTTAGGTGTTAATTGTTTATTTTGTCGTAAACTAACCTTTCATTTTTTGTGCAATCTTTTTAAAATCACTTCCATCAATTGAACCGTTGAATGATGTATAACACTTGGGCATAAAGCAACCATGTTATCACCTTGTTTCTCAATTGCTAAACCCAATAACTTCTTCTCATGTGCTTTTTCTTCAGCTTTATTCTTTAATTTAGGTTTAAATTTCTCATCAAAAAGAAGAAATCAAATGGTGCGAATTTGAAAATGTTTTTATCATAAAATTGTTTATCGGTAACAATTGCTTGAAATGCTTGAGTGTTAGGAAGATTTGGGTCGCCAGCGATTGCCCAATAAGATGAATCAGTATCACCTTCAATGAAATGAAAACGATTAACATTCATGCATTTATACATAAAATCATAAATGAAAACTAAATACCAGTATTTAGCATTATCTAAAGTGAAGAATGCCTCTTGTAAACATGTATCACATCTATAAAATCTATCTTAAGCATCACTTGATATGTATCTCACCTATTTCTCTTATGTTTTTAAACTTATTTGACATACATGCAACGCGTGCCTTCTGTGCATTCATTATTTTAGTCTTTGCGTAATTTTGTGTATTCATTGCATCGTAACCATATGATCCATTAAGTGAAATCTTGCAAAATAAACTTTTTCCTTTATTTCCTTCTAATTCAGCCTTTTGTCTTTCATAAATTTGTTCGCAAATTCATTAAAAAAGTGTTTTTCATAAATGTTAAAATTGATTGAATGTCATCGATGATAAAATGAAATCTGTCTATTAGATACCAAAGATAATAAGAAGAAAATGGTTGATATTGGTTGTGTGTTGATGCTAACTGAGTTAATTTCCTCTGTTTCTGGTCAACCGGTAGATTGTTTGATTTCATGTAATTATACATAAAACTGCCAATTGTTTTTTCATCTGTGATAATATCTAAGTTTCTTATTATCGGTAAAAAGTTTATGTAATCATTAATGTATTTTTCATCAATGTGACCCTTTACTTCAGCCACGAATAAAGTATTTTTCTTCTTAATTATTCCCAGTGCTTTTGCTTTCTTTGTTGCTGTATCACAAATGATAACACCATTCAATCTTCCCGGCATATACATTTTATGGTCAGTATATTGAATGAAATCATGAGGATTAGATGAAAATGATGAAGGATATAATGAATTAAAATCAACCCAACGAAATGAGTCATAATGTTGGTGGTGTCCTCATTTGATACAGTTTTAGTTTCTGGATTATATGCAAGTTTATTAATGTGCGTGATTCCTTTAAGATTTACTCTATGTTGAACATTTGATAAACCACCAGTAATTCCATTACGGAGAATGTGATAAGCTTCAACTGAATCTAAAGTCATTGGTAAATTATTTTTTAATGCATAATTTCTTAAATTGATTCTTAAACGTTGAACATCTTCATCTTTATTTGATTTTACGACATTGCAATAACAACACATTAACTGACAATTTTCTTTGGTATGTGGTTTTTCATTATCGATTCTATCCAATGTTGGTTTATTTGCATATGTAAACGCTTTACCACACATTTTGCATTTAGATGAAAGGATTAAATCGTGATAATTTGAAAATCATCCATTGAAACATTATTTTTAGTATCCCTTTCTGCTTTTTCATCTTGTTTCTTATATGATTCAATTTTATATTTCCAATACTTTTTCGTTAATTCAAAACTTGATTCTATCTCTTCCTCAGGATATTTTTCATTAGGATTAAAGTCTTTATATGCTAAAGCGTAACGAATCATTGAAGCATTCGATGATAAAGAAAGATTATGAAGCGTGTCAATTTTATAAACAAATGTTTCTTCAATAATTTTATCGATTGGGTCAATCATAATTTCAACATCTTTATTGCAATAATGAATAAAATATTCTAATCTATTCTTAAAATTTTTAGCATCATTGAGATATATTTGATAATCACTATCTGATATAGTTTCTTGGGTTAATGCTGAATAAAATGAATCTTTCGTGAATGGTTCCTCTTTATATAATTCTTCTTCGTAATTTCCCATGTGATGAATTGATAAGGGAAAAAGGATTTAACACGTGATTTATTGTTTCCGAAATCTTGAGTGAATTGGTCTAATGTCCCACCCGCTATATAATTTTGATGTCAATAAATCTCAATTCATATGGAACGTTTGTTTTCTTTACAATGATTTGCTTAAATTGTGAAGATGAACCCAGCATTGATTTTATTTTCCATTTTGCAGTGTTTAAATCACGAAGAATTAAATTTAAATCAAACTTTCCCGAATTAAAACCTATGATATTCACTTTATTGAATTCCTCATCTAGAAGTTCTTTAAATGCTTCCTTTGTTTTTCATTTAATGTATGGGACAAAGTCCCGCCGTTTGCGACTTCAATAATTCATTGTATTGACTCATATTTGATTCAACAACTAATGAACAGGTTGAAAATAAAAACTCAATCCAATCAGAAATAAAAGAATCACTCGAAGTTAAGCAAAAATTCCTCGTATATGTTTTATCGTTTAATTTAACCGTTGATGATACCATGAATGGTTTTAAGTAAGCATTCAAAGTTGCACACTCAGAAAGTTGTAATTCTTCTTTAGTCTCTAATGTTTCAAAGTCAAAAGTAATATAATATCTTGTCGGTTTATAATATTTCTGCAAATTGTGAGCTAATAACCACTGATATATCTTCTGTTTCGTAATATGTGGTGCATATGGTTGCTGTGTCTTTTGCAACTGAACGTCTTGAATTAATCTTCCATTATTTTCTTTACATTTCTCACAATGCTTTAAAAATCTTCTTTGGTTTTTCCTTTCTGGATCATCACGGATAGAATAAACTTCTTCTTTACAATATGGACAAACTTTATAGCCGGTGAGTGCTTCAACGTCTGTTATTCTGTCAGCGTGAAGTTTTCCACATGGACTCTGTGTTAATAAAATATTTACTGTTTCAAATTCTGGATCTATCATTATTGATTCCACTAATGGAAAGTCTACCTTATTTATGTCCACGTCTTCTGGTTGAGGATCACAATAATAGAAATCAATATTAACATTTAACATTCTCGCTAATCTCTCACTTTCTGATGAAATGTCAAACCCTTCATATGCATCTATTGCTTCATTTAAATAGCTTCTACGGTTTTAGGATTAACATCAGGAATGTTATAGAAGCGTTTAAATAACCTTCTACCTTCTGCTCTAATTTGATTATCATTCATTTTAGCTGTTCCGTTTTTGTTCATTTATGTAAGAATAAAAAATTAAAAATAAATAAAAATAAGTTTATTTTTTAAAGCCCATAAAATGAATTAAGAACACATAAATTTTTATCATCTGCGACGTGACGAATACATTTTAATTTACTCAAGAATGCGTACCCTGATACATTAAATCTAATTCCTGTCTTATTTAATTTCACAACTTTGAAAAGGAATGTATGAATAGCTATAAAATGATGAGAAGATGTTTTATGGGTTGCTTCCATTTTTTCTGAAATAAATGAATAAATATAATGCTTATACGTTTTCATATCTTTTATATTCTTAATAACGAATGGTATAGACCTTTCCACTTCGTCTTCCTTCGGTGCTGTTCTTTCATATGAAACATTATTGGTATCTTCAATAATGAAACCACAATCACACAAAATTTTATAGGTTCCAATGGTTTCTTTTGATATTTTATCTAATAAATCAAAAACTTTATCAACACCTGTGCATTTATTTAAATAATAATTTGTGTAAATATCATGATCTTCTTTCTTAATCGTATTAGTTGCATATGTCACGTTTTTAAGAGCTTTTTTGAATTTTTCGGAATCTAAAGGTGGTGAAAGTAGGATACAGGGGTATTCTTCATTATCAATAAATTGTAACTTATGTTTACGAATAAATTTAGTACCTTCTTCTGAAAGTGTTTCGTCTATTTCACCATCTAATAAATTTTGTGTTGATTCTGAGACATAATTTTTATATCTTTCTTCATGAGATTTCTGAACTTCTGATTCTGAAGCTGGGATATTCATTAAACCCTCTACTTCATTTTCATTATATTTTTCAACTTCTCTTAATTCCTTAATTTTTTCATCTATTTCATCTCTTATTTTTTTCAGTCTTTCAATTTCATTGTATTCATCATCTTTAATCCGTTCTTCATAATATTCAGGGAAAACATCAGGTTCTTTAGGTTTTTCTTCTTCAGATGTAGGATATAAGAAATTTATAACATCATCTTTATTCATTTTTCCATCATAATCTAAATCATTTAATAACTCCGCGAATTTTTTACAATTTCTTAAATAATATTTATCAACTTCATAACCCACCTCCTCTAATATATCCTTTATTTCCTCGTTTGTGAATCCTAATTTTTTAACGCTGTTAGTTTTGACGCTCATTTCATACAAAATAAAAAAATAAAATAATAAACATAACTAAGTTTTAATTTTTCGTAAGAAGTTTATTTTTTACTCGTTTATGAGGTCTTTAAACCCATTCAGGATTTAAACAATGTTTAATTAATCGCGGAATATCTGACATCATCTATATATAGCTTCTTTTAAAATTAATGTTAATTTTTTAATGGTTTATTTCATTATGTTTGGGCTGAGTGTAAATGCCTTACAATTTTGAAAATTTTTTAAATCTTGATTTATTCAAAAACGTAAGAATAAAAACCGTAAGAATCATATATTTTTTACTTCATATGTTAAAAAAAATGATATAAAATCGCTCGATATTGTATGAATTCTTACGTTTACAAAAAAAGTCACACAACCCGTCATATCTACTACTGTTAAGGCTGTTCTGAAATATAGATCCAAGGTGATGTGATTTTTGCATCCCTGGGATGGACGATACACCCAAAGTGTCACCTTTTTGGGATAACATGAATTTTAAATATCATGAGAGTTCTGCAAACCATATGCACAATATCTATTCAGCCTGACTTCTTGTATATATGAGTTAGACTTCTTAAATATTGTGCTTGGGGCGATATAAGCATTTCCGAGATTACCATCGTGCTCTATAGTATGCTACTTCTCCCTGGTTCTAGCTCAGTTCCAAGGATATTGGCGTTCAAGGATTTGGCAAGGTCCTTCCGAAGTCTCTCATTCGATGAGAGATTTCGGAAGAATCTTGCCTTAAAGTACTCCAACTCTTGTTCTTTTGGAGTGTGGTAGAATTTACGAAAAAGTGACACTAGAAAAAGTGACACTTAACCTTAAATTACCAAACACTATTTTTTGATTGTATTTTGTTATTTATATATTTATATATATATGTATATATGTATATATTTATATATGCATATATTTATATATGTATATATTTATATATGTATATATTTATATATGTATATATTTATATATGCATATATTTATATATGTATATATTTATATATGTATATATTTATATATGTATATATTTATATATGTATATATTTATATATGTATATATTTATATATGTATATTTTATATATATATATATTTATATATGTATATATTTATATATGTATATATTTATATATGTATATATTTATATATGTATATATTTATTAGAAACTGCTTCATGCTGCATTGAGTATTGTTGAATAATTTGAAGTAGTGGTTTTTGAAATCAGCACCCCTATGAGAGCGCTGGCGACCGAAACACACTAGTAAGATTGTGTATTAGAAACTGCTTCATGCTGTGTTGAGTAAGCTTCGATGTCTTTGTAGGATAGCTTTCTGAGAGCGAAACAAGATAGTGTTGAAAAAAATTTTGAAAATCTGAGAGACTGTGCAAGAGCCAACGACCAAAACACTACCAGTAAGATACAGCAGTAGTAGCTGCTTCATGCTGCATTGAGTATTGTTGAATAATTTGAAGTAGTGGTTTTTGAAATCAGCACCCCTATGAGAGCGCTGGCGACCGAAACACCACTAGTAAGATTGTGTATTAGAAACTGCTTCATGCTGTGTTGAGTAAGCTTCGATGTCTTTGTAGGATAGCTTTCTGAGAGCGAAACAAGATAGTGTTGAAAAAAAAATTTTGAAAATCTGAGAGACTGTGCAAGAGCCAACGACCAAAACACTACCAGTAAGATACAGCAGTAGTAGCTGCTTCATGCTGCATTGAGTATTGTTGAATAATTTGAAGTAGTGGTTTTTGAAATCAGCACCCCTATGAGAGCGCTGGCGACCGAAACACCACTAGTAAGATTGTGTATTAGAAACTGCTTCATGCTGTGTTGAGTAAGCTTCGATGTCTTTGTAGGATAGCTTTCTGAGAGCGAAACAAGATAGTGTTGAAAAAAAAATTTTGAAAATCTGAGAGACTGTGCAAGAGCCAACGACCAAAACACTACCAGTAAGATACAGCAGTAGTAGCTGCTTCATGCTGCATTGAGTATTGTTGAATAATTTGAAGTAGTGGTTTTTGAAATCAGCACCCCTATGAGAGCGCTGGCGACCGAAACACCACTAGTAAGATTGTGTATTAGAAACTGCTTCATGCTGTGTTGAGTAAGCTTCGATATCTTTATCAGACCACCTTTAAATTAACCACTCACATTCTCACTGTGGTCCATCTAAAATTTGTAAACTTTATGACATAAAATTATATTATATGCAGGATCCCACCTATTACTTAATCTTTTTGGAATAAATGTTTTATAATATTTATCGATTGATTGTAATTTTTTGTATAAAAAAGTTTTTTATTTATATTAAAAATATATTCGGTTAATGATATTATCTTATAATTTGTAAATAAATCTAGTAATAAAATAACTTTAATAGTTGGTGTCACTTTTTCGAAAATTCTGGTTTTTCCGCAAGGTCCTTCCGAAGTCTCTCATTCGATGAGAGATTTCGGAAGAATCTTGCCTTAAAGTACTCCAACTCTTGTTCTTTTGTTCCTAAATAGTGAGAAAAGTTATTTGACTACTTAAGGTAGAGATTATCCGAGGTCCCTCATTTGATGAGAGGCCTCGGATAATCTCTGCCTTAAAATTGTACACTTGTAGTCCATGAGAGTGTAAGTATACATTGATAGGACAGCTTTCTTCTGAAGTCTTAGATTTGATGAGAACCTCAGAAGAAAACTGTCCTATTTTATAGTAAAAGGAGTTTCAGGAGCTCCAAAGCTCCCTTTCGTAAGGATTAGGAGCTTTGGAGCTCCTGGTTCGTAGATGTGTTTCGCATCTTTCATCAGCAAAGGACATTTACCATCTGGGACTCTGTTGATGGAGACTCAGGAGCTCAAAGCTCCCTTTAGTAAGGATTAGAAGTTTTGAAGCTCCTGGTTCGTAGACGTGTTTCGCATCTCATCAGAAGAGGCCCAAATGGTAAATAGCCTCTGCTGATGAGCTTCAGGAGCTCCAAGGCTCCCTCTCGTAACGATTAGGAGCTTTGTAGCTCCTGAAGGTAAGGTAGGATTGCTCTGATCTCTAATCAGTAGATGCCATGCCTCATTATGAACTCTACTGACAAGAGATCAAGAGCTCCAAGGACTCCCTTTTGAGTTAGTGGCGTTCTCACCATTTAGTAGGATTGCTGATCCTACTAATGAAGTGATCACTTAGTATACGTTTTGAATAAATTGAATTTTTTTTAGAATTTAGTATTTTTATAGACATCACATGTATATTATAAATACATAAATATATTCTTTAATTCAAAAAATTCAATTCGGTTTTGGGATGGTATCCCAGCCCCAAGTATTCAATTTTATTCAATTTTTTAAAGAATTTTGGGTTGGGATGCCCAGACCAAAACAAGCTTTATATTTTGATGTGTAGATACGTATGTGTGCATCATTGTTGTGTTATATATTATGTTTTTAATGAAAAAAAAATCTGATTCAAAAAAATTATCACTAATTAGTTGATAATATAAAGAAAAAATAGATAAATTGTATGTTTTGAGAGTATTTATCCACATTCACTCATATGAATTCATTAAATAGTGTCTTTTTACTCCAAAATTTATTTTGAATTATTGAAATCAAAGAAAAAAAATCAGAAAAATTTCTCGAAATTTTTATTTTCAAAAAAAATTTGGATTTTATATTGAAAACTGACACCGGGAGGACGATAGGGCTGGGATTGGAGATACCCCGCTCACTTGGGAAAAATACGGATCTATATTCTGAAAATATTTTTTTTTCGAAAAAATTCGAAAAAAATTCTTAAAATTCAAAAATCCCTTAATTCCTGAGGATTTTGGGAAAAAGTTTTTACATGAACATGTGTATATTATATGAAGTATATTGATAAGGTAAAAATCAAATTTTATTGCATATTCATCGAGAAAATAAACTAACGAATCCCTCAAAATTGAGAGGGTAATCCTCCTTCTCTCAAATAAACGTACATACGGGTGCACCCTTAATATATCGTCGTATCAGATATGAACAAAGATCAATTCATTTTTTACTGTTCATATACTTTTTAAATGAATTCAAAACCAATTTTATCGGATTTATTAATTATTCAATATAAATTTCGCTCTAATATGATGTACTAATTTTGATTAAAAGTTTATTTGAGGAGTTTATTTTGAGATAGCTTTGAAAAATTGAAATCTCGATAATGATATTTTTCAGAGCTTTTCTGAAGGGTATGTAATTGCTTTTTCGAGGGATGATAAGGTAAAATAATGCCAGATGAATTGTTTCTCATACTATCCCAATATCATATTTGCATAATTCTTATTTCGATGGAGCAACTTCAAAGATTAAACCTGTGAATTTTTTCTATTGGTAGGAGTAAGACAAAGCTTTGTCTATTGCGGAAACCACATTGATTCCCCTATTTATAATCTTTCCCACTAGTTCCACACTATCGTTCATGATTTTATTTCTTTTTGGAGAAATTTAGATTCGAAAAAATGTTTTTGACCATATATCTAGAATAACAGAGATTTGCATCTTAGTCACAAAAAGTGAATATTTCATGAAGTAGTTATAGAAAAATAGAAAGGTAATTGATATCTCAAAATTTTAGAAATGGCTTTTATAGCAGCCCTGTATTATTTTAACTAGATATTACATTTAACACGCATCACGATGGATTATTTTTTCAAAATTAAAGGTATCTTCATCCATCAATAATATTTCAATCAGAATAAGAACTAAGGCTACAAATATGTTATTGACAAGATTATGTGAAATTAATTGCCCGAGGATTTCTATATAATACTAAAATAAAATTATGAAATTTTATTTACAGAGATTTTGATTACGTTTGTACTAATTTTACAAAGTATTAAACTTGCACATGCCAAAACCCATATTTTTAGGTAAAGAAACACGGGGATTTAAAAGGATTTGGCGTTTTTGAAATTAATTGATTGTAAAGGAAAAATTACATCTGACTTTTTTTTTTGATTTACATGTCGGATTTTTATTGAAAGGTAATACCGCCTTCAAAAGATAGGAACATCAGCCTGTGAGGTACTGACCCTTAGCCAATACTTTATAGACTGATGCACCTACCATTTTTTCTTTAAAACTTTTTTTTAATTCAATATTTTTTAAACAATATTTTTTTAGTAAAATAAAATTTTGTAATTGCACAAGTAGTAATATGAACAACTAGTATTTGATAGAAAATTAACAAATTTTAACATAATCATCTCCAAATTGACGTGGAGCGCCTTTATTAGGCTTGACAATTAATATAAAATTCGAAGTTGGGCCACCTTTAAATCTTTCTACATCGCCCATGTTTGGATTTACATCTATAACATTTCCTTGAGTTGGACATTTAAGTATTTCTTCATTAATATAAACAATTTCATCATCAACATGGATTTCGTGACCAAGTGGAGGCCCCATGTAGTCAAAAGATTTCTGATCTTTAATAAATGCTGGATGAAATGTAAGAATGATAAGGCTATTTGGAAGTATGAAAACTAACAGTTTCCCATTTGTATATGTACCACTAAATCTGAGTTTGAATGCTCTTAATTCATCAAGAGAGAAATCCATTACTTGTCACCTTTGGCCATTTTTTTTTGATGTCTGGTGGAGCTCCCCCTCGTCCTATAAAAACACTTTCGATTAAAGATCTTTCCAAGCAAACTGTCAAGTGTGAATATTGCAAGAAGGAAGTTCAAATTTCAGCACTTCCTATTCATGAATATATGTGCAGCAAAGCAAAGCCTATGGATCAAATGATGTACAATGCTAAAGTGTAACCATTATTCACATTAAATTTCAAGAAAAAACAAATTCAATTAAATTTCATTGTATTTTATTGAACAAAATTTCAAGCCATGTCAAATCAATGAATTGTTGCGAACGGATTGCACAATAGCTTACACACATTTTGCAAAAAATTAAAATAATGAAAATATCTATCTTTATTTATTGCTTGAAACTCTTGAAATGACCATCCATGAGTAAGCATTTCGAAGTATAAACTTTTAATTATAATCATTCTTAAAAACTATTTACTGATATATCTTATGCTTTACATTCTTTCCTTTTTTTCATATTTATTGAAAATGATATTAATCAGTTGAAGATGATATACCATATTCATGATTTCTGTTCAGTCTTAAATAAAGGAATTCTATTTTTAGTAATGACGTGCATTGATAGACTGAGTTATAGATTTATGCCTATCCAATTCATACATCGAAACATATTAGGTGCACTCCATTCATTAATAAATAAAATTTATGGGATTTTCTCTGTTTCATATGAATATATCTTCATTTCCGGAAAGATTTATTCTTTTATGAATTTAGTGTGCGTCAGAGAACAATATCATAAAGTACGAAACCACGTAATCTTCCATAATTGATCATACGAAATGATTGAATTGAAAATAATCGTCATATTTTTTTTGATGAACCCTTTACAAAATAAATGGATCCTTTCTTTTATTAATCAATCAGAAACAACAGACAAGAAATACGAGGACTGCATCCACAATATGGCAGAATTTGATACTGTAGAAACATTTTGGCAAGTTTATTCTCACACAAAATTACCAAGTAAACTTGATGACAATTATGATCTAAATCTATTTCGTGAGGGCTATCGTCCAGTGTGGGAAGATCAAAAAAATCAAAACAGTGGAAAATGGTACATTTGCTTGAAGCACGAGTTTGCGGATTTGGCTTGGGAAAAATCAGTTTTAGCATGCGTTGGAAATCTTTTCCCACATGAAGTTATTGGAATTACAGTTTCAAAGAAAAAACCAGATTATCCTTCGATTATTCTTAGTTATTGGATTTCAGATATCAAACAAAGTAATGATGAGAAGAAAATTGCAAAGAAAATTACAACAGTAATGGAATTCCCTCAAAATTCAACCTTATTTTTTAAATTTCACGGAAACAAACCAAGCCAAAAATTCAATGTCAATTAGAAACACACTATCCTAGAATGAAATACCTACATTTTTCCGTTGTATGTTCTTGATATCAACATATACGCTTATTAAATTGGATTAACAAGTAATGCGCTTGTGATTCTATATATTTATAGATATCTTATACGTAAACATAAAATTATTTGTTTCCCAAATATTGTTTTTTCATTTTTCTGAATTTGACTGAAATTCTTCTGTGATACTTCATACAAAATGAAAACGAATTCATTCCTTAATGCTGGAGTTTAATGAATTTGGTTTTTCATTTCAATATTCTTTAATTTAACATATTTCAGATATATTAGACTACAAAACTACTTAACATGAAGAAAATGGAACCAGTCCCATTTTGATAAAGCTATCATTCAGTTTTCGTATCGAATTTGATTTCGAAATCACAAATGATTTAAAAATATCTCTGCTTTCCAACTTCAATAAGATTTATTTGGTTATTTTTAATATAGCTATCATATCAGATTTGTCTAAAAGAGTATATTTTTCAACTCCGTTACTCGTGCGTTTGAATGTAAATTTTTCAAAAAAAAATCTCTTGATGAATCCAGAAGATTCGACTAATCTTGAGATTTTAAAAGTTCCTAATGTTGATGGTTTTTATGAAGAGCTCGAGGCCTCACCAGAGACATTACACTATTCTCAATCACGCGAATTTTTCGAAATATTACTTAATTATTTCCAGCAATCAATCGATGAGGAAACAGGAAATCTAATTCTTTATACAATCGCAAAGGTCTTATGCAATGATAGACATTTAGATGTTTTTATTAAAGAAAATTTTGCGTTACAATTACCATATCGTCAGAGAATGTTCCAAGATTCAGTGTTCGAGATTATATTTGTTCTCGTTAGTCTTGGACCTCATTGCTTTGATGATAGCAGAATTACAAAACAATTTGCGCCGTTAATCAAGCGAAATCCAAAGAAATCATTAACAATTCTTGCTATTTACGCACAGAAGTTCGCATATATTGAAAATCCATGGCCAATGGTTGATCTTTTAATTCAAGAATCTCAGAGATTTATTGGCCCAGAATTAGCCGCAAATTATGTATCACTTCTCACAACATTATGCATAAAGTATGAAGACTACTGCCAAGGTCGTGCAGAACATTGCTGGCGTAAAATTTGCGCCCTTTTAAACGAAACTGATATAATGACACTTAAAGTCGTTTACTGCGGACTTTGCAATATCTCGAAAGTCTATACAGGAGGCGAACTTCCTATTGATCCTATTCGAGCCCATCTTCGCGTAAAAGATTTACAAAGACCTGTTCTTACTCTTTTAATTTCTGTTCCATTACATGGCGAAGAAAGTTGCGATCGACCACTTCTACAAACTCTTTGCTCTCTTTCAGAGCGCGATGACAAAGCAACGATGGTTCTCATGAAAGCGTCCTCAGATCCCGTATTTGCAGACTTTCTTGTAGAAAATGCTAAGCTCTGGCTTGGAAAAGAGCTTCCAACACCAATAGAAACACTTAGATTGTTCTTGAGCGTGTTCAAATTTAAAGAATTGCGCCAAACAATTGCAGAGAGTCCAGATTTCTATGAATTCCTCAAGATGATAACAAACCAAGAAAATGGAAACTCTCTTTCAATGCTTTGCACAATAATCAGAAGAATTGAACTTAATGAACAAATTATTTCGAATTTGTCAGACAGTGGATTCCTCAGAGCTTTCTTTGCAATGGCTGCCGACTTGAATACAACAACATCAAAGCATTCCGCGCTGTTAATGCTCGATACAATTTCTAGAATCGCTTATTCAAGAGAATTTATGAAGATGTGCGATATGATTAATGACATAATCAACGAAAGAGGAGAATTAACTGAAGTAGCAATACTTGTTGCTGCTGAACTTTGCACTTATAAGAAATGTGAGTTAGCTTTTAAGAGAAAGAGGCTCGATGAATACATTAAAACACTGCTAGTTGATCCACAGCTTAAAAGACCAGCACAAAAATTCTTGGATTCAATTTCATAAACAATTATTATTTATATTTTTTCAAAATTATTTTAATTTTTGTTTAATTTCATTTCTTTTCATGTATTTAGTTTATACAAGGATGGTATTGTGGCATCACCATCTTAAATTAAAACTCCATGAATTCATTATGGATAATTTTTCATTCTCCAGAAAAAAAAATTATGACACTTTTTTTTTCAAAAATTTTTCATTTATGTCATCTAATTCAAGAAGACAACAATATGGAAGACAACAACGTGAAGAAACTAAACAAACGAGACCGCGTAATCAAAATTATGCTCAATCTACAAATACAAGCTGGGGAAATCTAGATATGAATTCTCCACAACCAAAACCAGAAGAAACAAAGAAATTTGAACAACCAGCTTCACCTTCTTTCCCAGCGCAAGAGAACAAACCACAAATGATGCCACAAGAACCAGTTCAACAACAAATTCAACCAACTCAACCAAAACAAAGGGAAGAAAGAAAACCAAGAAATACACTTCGCGTTCCACAAGATCTTGCATCTATTAAAACTAATGTATATCACTTTGGTCTATTTATTAAGAGAAATCAATCATCTGAACAACCAAAGATTGTTTTAACAAATCAACAGCAACCATACAAACCACCTCAACAACAACCGATACCAGAACCTAAGAAACAAGAAGTTCCAGAACCAGTTGTTCAAAATAATAGATCAATCAGACAACAGACACCACCACCAGCCAAAATTAGACCAGAGCAACCTCAGCCACAAATTACAAATCAACCAAAGCCTACAGATTTCCAACCAAGGCAATTTAATCCACAAACTGCTCCAGCTCAACCACAAATTGCTCCAACTCAACCACAAATGCCAATGGGAGGTATGACACCAAAACAATACTTAGATTTCCAGAAATTCCAACAAATGCAATCAGATCCAGAACTTTACCAAAGTTTTCTTAAATTCGCTAGATTTAACCAGATGTATTCACAAGGCCAAATGAATCCATTCGGACAGATACAGTATCCTCCACAAATGGGATATCCACAACCACAGATGGGATATCCACCTCAAATGCAGTTCGCTCCTTATGGGCAACAAATGGGATTTAACCCTATGCCTCAGAACCAACAACAACCACAACAATATCCAAGATAATTAAATATTTTTTTTTAAATATTAAATATTTTTTTTAGGGTAATATTTTAGGAGAAGTAGTATTTTACTTTATTCAATTGAAATGTAATCATAACTATTTCACAATATTTTATTATGAAATACTAAATATAATATTAAAATTCTTTAGAAGTAGTGCTTCTTCCCTGGTTATGAAGTTAGAACAGATAACTTCTAGGAAATAGAGTAAATATCTGAGGGTCTCTAAAATTGATGAAAGATGATTCAATAATAGATAGTATAATGCAACATATGAGTTATAACATATGATATACAATTATATGTACCAATTATTACATATTATTAAAATATTTATAACAAACGATAACATGAATAAAATAATTATATCTTATATGGGTTGTAAATTTGATAAGAATCGCAGAATTTCTTTGTCTGAATTTGGTAATCATCATTGTATTCCATAACATCGACTTTCTCTGGGAAATCTTCTGTGTTCATTGTTTCATATATTTTTCTCCACTCTTCATCCCAATCTAAGTTTTGAAGGAGTTTTGGATTCTTGACAAACCTCTCAGTATTCTTCACAATATTGATCCATTCTCCTGAAAACTTGAAACCTCCAGCTGGATTGCAATTGTATTCTTCTAATTCATACCACTTATACCGTTTATCAATAACTTTAGGAACTCCTGTGAATTTTGTTCCATTTTTCAGAGTACAATCAAATCTAACATGCAAATGAGCTGCATACCACTTCTTTGGTCGGTGCTTGTTCAAAAGCTTCACAAATCCTGGGCATCCGAAATCATTTTTATCATCTGATTTAGCATAAAACTGCATTCTTGGAATGTTTCTGTACTGCTTTGGAATTCCTGATGGCCATTCATGTGATACAAACAAAGGTACATTCTTCAAACCATAAAGCTGGAAAATCGAGACTTCACGGATATGTAATATTAAATGAGTATCACAACCTCTGACAGGGAATTTCTCTGAAATACATTTATGATAATCTTGTCCGTTCATAATACCACTCTGACATGTGATCAATAAATCACCAAAATAGATTTGAGAATTTATTCCTGCAAAGAATATATCTGGAGTCACCCATCCTCCAAATGGAAGCTGGAATATCATATCTCCAACTTCGTTGTTTCCTCCGATCATAAGCATTTTGCAAGGCAATTTCAATTCTCCACTAACAAGTTTGTGAAAAGTTCCTAAATCATGATTCTGTCTTTGGTAATTATATGATTCCAAATCTGATTTTGAACGAAATGATTCAGTATCACCAGCAACAATAATAAGATCAATTTTTGTTCCTTTAGCGACAAGTTTGTTTACTTCATTAACAACAACTTCCCATGAACCATGGACGCATCCGCACAAAAATATACGCATTTTTAAAAAATGAAATGAGCGAAAATTCTAAGAATTCAAAATTTTATAAAATTTTTAAAAAATTTTGACTAAGTGAAAACATCTTTTTTTTACACTTAGTCAAATTTTTTTTTCTTTCCAAAAACCAATTATGAGTTATAACGTCAGTGGAAAATAAGACAACAAACGATACGAAAAAAACAACTCAATCTTGAGGGATCTGCCGGCTACTTTGCCAAATAATAGCATTATTTGAAATTTTCGAACTTAAATATATGATATAGTTCATGTTAAGTAAATAATTCTTTTTGATTGTTTTAATAAATCATGATTATCAACTTGAAAACATAATCTTTTCATGTAAACCTTTCAATTCACTCAAATTTTGAGAAACAGACACGAAGAATATGATTTCAAGCAAGGGAAAGATTGTTGACAATGTAAGCATGTGAGAGTTCTCAAACGCTGCTGATATAGTCCATTGGAACATGTCCACAAGCGCATTCGTATTATTTCGTAGAATAATATTCTAAAATTGATGAAAGATGATTCAATAATAGATAGTATAATGCAACATATGAGTTATAACATATGATATACAATTATATGTACCAATTATTACATATTATTAAAATATTTATAACAAACGATAACATGAATAAAATAATTATATCTTATATGGGTTGTAAATTTGATAAGAATCGCAGAATTTCTTTGTCTGAATTTGGTAATCATCATTGTATTCCATAACATCGACTTTCTCTGGGAAATCTTCTGTGTTCATTGTTTCATATATTTTTCTCCACTCTTCATCCCAATCTAAGTTTTGAAGGAGTTTTGGATTCTTGACAAACCTCTCAGTATTCTTCACAATATTGATCCATTCTCCTGAAAACTTGAAACCTCCAGCTGGATCATTGCCAAGTGAGACTCGTTGAGTATTAGAAGTGGATGGATTATAAGAGTTAGTTGAAGTACTAGATGATGATATGGAGCGAGGAGAACTCGATGTGTTTCGTTGAGAACTAGAAGTGGATGGTTTATAAGAGTTAGCTGGATTGTTCGATGATGATATTGAGCCATTACCAAATATATTATTGAACATATCACCGAATGGATCATTGCCAAGTGAGACTCGTTGAGTATTAGAAGTGGATGGATTATAAGAGTTAGTTGGAGTACTAGATGATGATATGGAGCGAGGAGAACTCGATGTGTTTCGTTGAGTATTAGAAGTGGAATCTCTGACTTCATATTCAGTAGAACATTGATTCCTTTCAATAAACTCTTCTTTATTGCTCGTATTAATTTGACCTTCAGAAAATCTAGGATAATTTTGTTCCAAAACATTGATTATACCATCTAATAGCCTCAGTTTCATATATTTTCTAACTGATTTCAGTGTTGAAATTACCTCTTCAAGACTATTTATTTCAACCTTTGCATTGCGAACACAATCATATAATTTATTTGCTTTTATTGTACTAGAAGACTGCTCAAGAATTGCGATAAAGTCATCTGAGTGTAATTTAGAAGAAGTAGTAGGATAGGATGGGTTTTGTGACTTTTTTTGTAAACGTAAGAATTCATACAATATCGAGCGATTTTGTATCATTATTTTAACATATTAATTTTAAAATAATTTATTTTTTTATTCTTACATAAATGACCCAACAAGTAAAACCAGATAAAATAGATTATCGAATTTTAGAGGATGGTGTTCCTGTTTATATTCAAAGATTTAAAGGGAAGCAATATTATAGAATTGTTAATCCTGAATACATAAAACATTTATTTAAAAAGGAAGACTGTGAATTTATTAAACGTTAATGAATATGAAACCAATAAATCAAAATTGAAATATAAATATATTGGGAAGTGATGAAAGATGCAAAGATAAAGATAAAGTTTATACAGTTTCATATAATGAAATGGAAAACCAATAAGATAAGAAAACATTTTAGGAGATTATGGTAAAGTTTCTGAATTCTTTAAAATCTAGTATGTACGAGAGAGTAAAAGAAATTAGAAATAATTATTTCATGAATAAAATAAACTTTAAAATTCATGTCTTACATTTTTGAATAATTTTTATTTTTTAATTCGTAAGAAAGCGCGACATTATTAAATAAATTAGTAATAAATATTATATACTAAACACATTAAAAATTAACATTAATTTTAAAAATATATTTATTTTTATCTTTTATAAAAGAAGCTATATATAGATGATGTCAGATATTCCGCGATTAATTAAACATTGTTTAAATCCTGAATGGAATCAATGGAGTCATAATCAAAGACCTCATAAACGAGTAAAAGATTCACTACCATAATGAAATAAAAAATAAAAAAAATAAACTTTAAAAATTTATGTCTTACATTTTTGAATAATTTATTTTTATTTTGTATGAAATGAGCGTCAAGACTAACGACGTTAAAAAATTAGGATTCACAAACGAGGAAATAAAGGATATATTAGAGAGGCGGGTTATGAAGTTGATAAATATTATTTAAGAAATTGTAAAAATTCGCGGAGTTTTTAAATGAGTTTGATTATGATGGAAAAATGAATAAAGATGATGTTATAAATTTCTTATATCCCACATCTAAAAGAAGAAAAACCTAAAGAACCTGATGTTTTCCCTGAATATTATGAAGAACGGATTAAAGATGATGAATACAATGAAATTGAAAGACTGGAAAAAATAAGAGATGAAATAGATGAAAAAATTAAGGAATTAAGAGAAGTTGAAAAATATAATGAAAATGAAGTAGAGGGTTTAATGAATATCCCAGCTTCAGAATCAGAAGTTCAGAAATCTCATGAAGAAAGATATAAAAATTATGTCTCAGAATCAACACAAAATTTATTAGATGGTGAAATAGATGAAACACTTTCAGAAGAAGGTACTAAATTTATACGTAAACATAAGTTACAATTTATTGATAATGAAGAATACCCTTGTATCTTACTTTCACCCCCTCTCGATTCTGAGAAATTCAAAAAAGCTCTTAAAAAACGTGACATATGCAACTAATACGATTAAGAAAGAAGATCATGATATTTACACAAATTATTATTTAAATAAATGCACAGGTGTTGATAAAGTTTTTGATTTATTAGATAAAATATCAAAAGAAACCATTGGACATATAAAATTTTGTGTGATTGTGGTTTCATTATTGAAGATACCAATAATGTTTCATATGAAAGAACAGCACCGAAGGAAGACGAAGTTGAAAGGTCTATACCATTCGTTATTAAGAATATAAAAGATATGAAAACGTATAAGCATTATATTTATTCATTTATTTCAGAAAAAATGGAAGCAACCCATAAAACATCTTCTCATCATTTTATAGCTATTCATACATTCCTTTTCAAAGTTGTGAAATTAAATAAGACAGGAATTAGATTTAATGTATCAGGGTACGCATTCTTGAGTAAATTAAAATGTATTCGTCACGTCGCAGATGATAAAAATTTATGTGTTCTTAATTCATTTTATGGGCTTTAAAAAATAAACTTTATTTTTATTTATTTTTTAATTTTTTATTCTTACATAAATGAACAAAAACGGAACAGCTAAAATGAATGATAATCAAATTAGAGCAGAGGGTAGAAGGTTATTTAAACGCTTCTATAACATTCCTGATGGTGCTAATCCTAAAACTCGTAGAAGCTATTTAAATGAAGCAATAGATGCATATGAAGGGTTTGACATTTCATCAGAAAGTGAGAGATTAGCGAGAATGTTAAATGTTAATATTGATTTCTATTATTGTGATCCTCAACCAGAAGACGTGGACATAAATAAGGTAGACTTTCCATTAGTGGAATCAATAATGATAGATCCAGAATTTGAAACAGTAAATATTTTATTAACACAGAGTCCATGTGGAAAACTTCACGCTGACAGAATAACAGACGTTGAAGCACTCACCGGCTATAAAGTTTGTCCATATTGTAAAGAAGAAGTTTATTCTATCCGTGATGACCCAGAAAGGAAAAAACCAAAGAAGATTTTTAAAGCATTGTGAAAATGTAAAGAAAATAATGGAAGATTAATTCAAGACGTTCAGTTGCAAAAGACACAGCAAACCATATGCACCACACATTATTGAAACAGAAATATATCAATGGCTATTAGCACATAATTTGCAGGAATATTATTAAACCGACAAGATATTATTATTACTTTTGACTTCGAAACATTAGAGACTAAAGAAGAATTACAACTTTCTGAGTGTGCAACTTTGAACGCTTACTTAAAAACCATTCATGGTATCATCAACGGTTAAATTAAATGATAAAACATATACGAGGAATTTTTGCTTAACTTCGAGTGATTCTTTATTTCTGATTGGATGAGTTTTTATTTTCAACCTGTTCATTAGTTGCTAATCAAATATTGAACAATATGAAGAATTAATGAAGTCGCAAACAGACCAAACGCGGGACTTTGTCTCATACATTAAATGAAAAACAGAAGGAAGCATTTAAAGAACTTCTAGATGAGGAATTCAATAAAGTGAATATCATAGGTTTTAATTCGGGAAAGTTTGATTTAAATTTAATTCTTCGTGATTTAAACACTGCTAAATGGAAAATAAAATCAATGCTGGGTTCATCTTCACAATTTAAGCAAATCATTGTAAAGAAAACAAACGTTCCATATGAATTGAGATTTATTGACATCAGAAATTATATAGCGGGTGGGACATTAGACCAATTCACTCAAGATTTCGGAAACAATAAATCACGTGTTAAATCCTTTTTCCCTTATCAATTCATCACATGGGAAAATTACGAAGAAATTATATAAAGTGGAACCATTCACTCAAGATTCATTTTATTCAGCATTAACCCAAGAAACTATATCAGATAGTGATTATCAAATATATCTCAATGATGCTAAAAACTTTAAGAATAGATTAGAATATTTTATTCATTATTGCAATAAAGATGTTGAAATTATGATTGACCCAATTGATAAAATTATTGAAGAAACATTTGTTTATAAAATTGATATGCTTCATAATCTTTCTTTATCATCGAATGCTTCAATGATTCGTTACGCTTTAGCATATAAAGACTTTAATCCTAATGAAAAATATCCTGAGGAAGAGATAGAATCAAGTTTTGAATTAACGAAAAAGTATTGGAAATATAAAAATTGAATCATATAAGAAACAAGATGAAAAAGCAGAAAGAGATACTAAAAATAATGTTTCAATGGATGATTTTCAATACTATCACGATTTAATCCTTTCATCTAAATGCAAAATGTGTGGTAAAGCGTTTACATATGCAAATAAACCAACATTAGATAGAATCGATAATGAAAAACCACATACCAAAGAAAATTGTCAGTTAATGTGTTGTTATTGCAATGTCGTAAAATCAAATAAAGATGAAGAGTTCAACGTTTAAGAATCAATTTAAGAAATTACGCATTAAAAAATAATTACCAATGACTTTAGATTCAGTTGAAGCTTATCACATTCTCCGTAATGGAATTACTGGTGGTCTATCAAATGTTCAACATCGTGTTAATCTTAAAGGAATCACGCACATTAATAAACTTTCATATAGTCCAGAACTAAAACTGTATCAAATGAGGACACTTCCAACATTATGACTCATTTCGTTGGTGTTGATTTTAATTCATTATATCCTTCATCATTTTCATCTAATCCTCATGATTTCATTCAAATACTGACCATAAAATGTATATGCCGGGAAGATTGAATGGTGTTATCATTGTGATACAGCAACAAAGAAAGCAAAAGCATTGGGAATAATTAAGAAGAAAAATACTTTATTCGTGGCTGAAGTAAAAGGGTCACATTGATGAAAAATACATTAATGATTACATAAACTTTTTACAATAATAAGAAACTTAAGATATTATCACAGATGAAAAAACAATTGGCAGTTTTATGTATAATTACATGAAATCAAACAATCTACCAGTTGACCAGAAACAGAGAAAATTAACTCAATTAGCATCAACACACAACCAATATCAACCATTTTCTTCTTATTATCTTTGGTATCTAATAGACAGATTTCATTTTATCATCGATGATATTCAATCAATTTTAACATTTACGAAAAATACTTGTTTTAATGAATTTGCGAACAAATTTATGAACGAAAGACAAAAGGCTGAATTAGAAGGAAATAAAGGAAAAAGTTTATTTTGCAAGATTTCACTTAATGGATCATATGGTTACGATGCAATGAATACACGAAATTACGCAAAGACTAAAATAATGAATGCACAGAAGGCACGCGTTGCATGTATGTCAAATAAGTTTAAAAACATAAGAGAAATAGGTGAGGATACATATCAAGTGATGCTTAAAGATAGATTTTATAGATGTGATACATGTTTACAAGAGGCATTCTTCACTTTAGATAACGCAAAATACTGGTATTTGGTTTTCATTTATGATTTTATGTATAAATGCATGAATGTTAATCGTTTTCATTTCATTGAAGGTGATACTGATTCATCTTATTGGGCTATTGCTGGCGATCCAAGTCTTCCTAACACTCAAGCATTTCAAGCAATTGTTACCGATAAACAATTTTATGATAAAAAC